CCCCATCTGTCTGTCTATCTGTTTGTCTTTTTCAGATAGGGTCTCTCTATGTAGTTCAGGCCAGTCTTGAGCTCTCTTTGTAGCCCAGGCTGGTTCTGAACTCATAATGATCCTCCTGCCTCAGTGTCTTGAGTGCTGGTATTACAGGGGTGCGCCACCACACCCAACTCTCCTTTTTTCATTCTTGTTGACACTGTTAATCCCAGTTCGTGTTTATGGCAATATAATGTCCATACTCATTGATGTTGTCTTTACCAATTTCCCCCTCCTCCTTTATCCCCTGGACCCCTTTCCTATCTGTAAGAGATGCTGCCCTTTGTCTTATTTTATCCTTCATTTATTTTTCTCTTAGTTTGTACTTTGCCTCCCTCAGATGAAAGATACTATCTGCTGTTCAAGTTTGTGTTATTTTATTTTTAAGACAGTGTCTCCCTAAGCTGACCAGGTTGGCTTTGAATTCATGTTCCTGCTTGTGCCTCAGAAATTCAGATATTGAGCCCACAGTCTTGTACACACCTGGCAAGTTCTTTACCATAGAACTACACTCTCAGTCTAGTATTGCTTTCTAAAGCTACTTGGATGCTACAATTTGGACACAATTGAGAAGTAACAACAGAGAGGCTACAATCTAAACTTTGACAATTGTGTAGCATTTTATATTTCTACAGGTGAATTTTATGTGTATCTCACTCTACCTCAAAGGCATCATCCACTTACAGATGTAGAGATTGAGGCTCAGAGAAGTGACCTGACCTTCCTGTTGTCCCTTGGCTTAGTAAAAATGCCAGGTGCTAGATGGGGACTCCTGTGCAGAGTGACAGCAGGCCTTCAGTCCAAGCCCTCCTATACTTCTGCCCTTGCTGGTGCTCCGGACTACATGACCTGGATTGTATTCAGACCAAATCAAAGTCCTTGCTGTGCCCTATGGGACCTATATGCTCTGGCTCTCACTACTACAGTGATTTCATCTTCCACCATTTCCCCACTGTTAGCTGTGTTGTCATTACACAAACACTGCCGTGTCTTTGCAAACACAACCATCCTCTGCTTTGGAGGCCTTTTTTTTAAAAATTAATTTTATTGAGAAACAAATATCAATGAGAGAGTTTCAAAACAGATAAGTAGGGGGCCGGGGAGATGGCTCCATTGAGTAAGTGCTTGCCTGGCAAGCACAAGAGCCTGAGTTCAATCCCTGGTTCAGCAAAACAAACAAACAAACAAACAAACAAAAAACAGGTAAGTAGGACAGTTACAATAATTAATACATTGCATATTGTTTTCTTCATAGTGATTATTCATAGTAGAAGATGCAGACATGATATCCTGTCCAAACACTACTAGTACAAATCTTTCTTCTCATTGAATTAAGAGAAAGTAGCTGCATATCTATCCTATTTTGTATATACAGGTACAAAATGGTCCTTCATTTGTATCCCCTTTTTTTGTCTAGTTTTGTCAGAGATGGGTATTCCATTGCCATTTAAATATTATAGGTGTGTGAATTCAGCAAAATAATCCAATATAGTCCAGTAGTCCATAATACTAGTGGGTTATCCGCAGGACTGGCAATGTCAGAAATTATTGACTTGAGCTTTTTACAGCTCAGCATATGAATATGGCTTTACTTTTTATACTTCATTTTTATACTTTTCTGCTGGATGGTTAAGATCAAGATAAAACAAGACCTATATAACAAGAAATGTAACTTTTGTATCTGACAAGGTCAGTCAAATCCTCTCAGAATTTAC